TTTCACTGATGATTAGTGATGTGGAGCATCTTTTCATGTGTCTGTGAGCCATCTGAATTTCTTCTTTGGAGAATTGTCTCTTCATATCCTTTGCCCATTTTTTAATCAGGTTATTTGCTTTTTGGGTGTTGAGGCATGTGAGTTCTTTATATATTTTAGATGTTAACCTCTTGTCAGATACGTTGTTTACAAATATATTCTCCCACACTGTAGGGTGCCTTTTTGTTCATTGATGGTGTCCTTTGCCATACAGAAGGTTTTTAGTTTGATGTAGTCCCATGTGTTCATTTTTGCTTTTGTTTCCCTTGCTTGAGGAGAAGCATTCAGGAAGAAGTTGCTCATGTTAATATTCAGAAGATTTTTGCCTATGTTGTCTTCTGAGAGTTTTATAGTGTTATGACTTACACTCAGGTCTTTGATCCATTTCGAGTTTACTGTTGTGTATGGGGTTAAACAATAATCCAGTTTCATTCTCTTACATGTAGCTGCCAGTTTTGCCAACACCAGTTGTTGAAGAGGCTGTCATTTCCCCATTGTATGTCCATGGCTCCTTCATCATATATTAATTGACCATATATGGTTGGGTTTATATCAGGGCTCTCTAGTCTGTTCATTGGTCTATGGGTCTGTACTTGTGCCAGTACCAAATTGTCTTGATTACTATGGCTTTGTAGAAGAGCTTGAAGTTGGGGAGCATAATCCCCCCAGCTTTATTCTTCCTTCTCAGGATTGCTTTGGCTATTCAGGGTCTTTTGTGGTTCCATATGAATTTTAGAGTGATTTGCTCTTGTTCATTGAAGAATGCTGTTGGTATTTTGATAAGGATTGCATTGAGTTTGTAGATTGCTTTAGTCAGGATGGCCATTTTGACAATATTAATTCTTCCTATCCATGACCATGGGATGAGTTTCCATTTACTGGTATCTTCTTTAGTTTCTTCCTTGAGTGTCATGTAGTTTTCAGAGTATAGATCTTTCACTTCCTTGGTTAAGTTTATTCCTAGATATTTTTTTCTTTTTGATGCAATTGTGAATGGAACTGTTTTCCTGATTTCTCTTTCTGATAGTTCATCATTAGTGTATAGGAATGCCACAGATTTCTGTGTATTAATTTTGTATCCCAAAACTTTGCTGAATTCAAATATAAGATCTAGTAGTTTTGGAGTGGATTCTTTAGGGTTTTTATGTACAATATCATGTCATCTGCAAACAGGGACAGTTTAACTTCTTCCTTGCCATTCTGGATTCCTTTTATTTCTTTGTTTTGTCTGATTGCCATGGCTAGGACCTCCAGTATTATGTTGATTAGAAGTGGGGAGAGTTGGCATCCTTGTCTTGTTCCTGATCTTGAAGGAAAAGCTTTCAGCTTCTCACTGTTAAGTGTAATGTTGGCTGTGGGTTTGTCATATATATGACCTTTATTATGTTGAGGTACTTGCCCTCTATACCCATATTGTTGAGAGTTTTTATCATGAATGGGTGTTGAATTTTTTCGAATGCTTTTTCAGCATCTATGGAGATGATCATGTGGTTTTTGTCCTTCTTTTTGTTGATGTGGTGGATGATGTTGATGAATTTTCAAATGTACCATCCTTGCATCCCTGGGATGAATCCCACTTGGTCATGGTGTATGATCTTTTTGATCTATTTTGAATTTGGTTTGCTAATATTTTGTTGAGTATTTTTGCATCTATGTTCATCAAGGATACTGGTCTGTAATTTTCTTTTTCTTTTTGGTGTCTTTGCCTGGTTTTGGTTTAGAATGATGTTGGCCTCATAAAATGAGTTTGGGAGTATTCCTTCCTTTTCTACTTTTTGGAAAACTTTGAGGATGGGTATTAGGTCTTCACTAAATGATTGATAAAATTCAGTGGTGAAGCCATCTAGTCCAGGGGTTTTGTTTTTATGTAGCTTTTTGATTACCAATTCAATTTTGTTGCTGATAATTGGTCTGCTCAGATTTTCTGTTTCTTTCCTTCAGCCTTGGAAGGTTGTATTTTTCTAGAAAGTTGTCCAGTTCTTCTAAGTTATTCAGTTTGTTATCATATAATTTTTCATAGTATTCTCTCATAATTTTTTGTATTTCTGTGGTGTCTGCAGTGATTTTTCCTTTCTCAGTTATGGTTCTGCTTATGTGTGTAGACTCTCTTTTTTTCTTGATAAGTCTGGCTAGAGGGTTATCTATTTTGTTTATTTTCTCAAAGAACCAGCTCCTGCTTTCATTGATTCTTTCTATTGTTTTATTCTTCTCAATTTTATTTATTTATACTCTAATCTTTATTATGTACCTCCTTCTACTGACTTTGGGCCTCATTTGTTCTTCTTTTTCTAGTTTCACTAATTGTGAGTTTAGACTGTTCATATGGGATTGTTCTTCTTTCCTGAGGTAGGCCTGTATTGCAATATACTTTACTCTTAGCACAGCCTTCACTGCATTCCACAGATTTTGCAGTGTTGAGTTATTGTTGTCATTTGTCTCCATATATTACTTGATCTGTTTTTATTTGGTCATTGATCCATTGGTTATTTAGAAGCATGTTGTAAAGCCTCCATATGTTCATGGTATTTTTCATTTCTTTGCATAATTTTTTCTAGTTACATACCTTTGTGATCTGAGAAACTGGTTGGTACAATTTCAATCTTTTTGAATTTACCGAGCCTCTTTTTGTGGCCTAGTATAAGATCTATTCTTGAAAATGTTCCATGTGCACTTGAGAAGAATATCTATTCTGCTGCTTTTGGGTGTAGAGTTCTGTAGATGTCTGTTAGATCCATCTGTTCAAATGTGTTGTTCAGTGCTTCTGTCTCCTTACTTATTTTCTGTCTGGTTGATCTGTCCTTTGGCGTGAGTAGAGTGTTGAAGTCTTCTAGAATGAATGCATTGCATTCTCTTTTCCCTTTTAATTCTGATAGTATTTGTTTCACATATGTAGGTGCTCCTGTGTTGGTTGCATTGATATTTATAATGGTTATATCCTCTTGTTGAATTGACCCCTTTATCATTATGTAATGTCCTTCTTTGTCTCTTGTGACTTTCTTTGTTTTGAAGTCTATTTTGTCTGACACAAGTACTGCAACTCCTGCTTTTCTCTCCCTATTAGTTGCATGAAATATCTTTTTCCATCCCCTCACTTTTAGTCTGTCTATGTCTTTAGCTTTAAAGTGAGTCTCTTGTAGGCAGCATATAGATGGGTCTTGTTTTTTTTTATCTATTCAGGGACTCTATGTGTTTTGATTGGTGCATTCAATCCACTTACATTTATGGTGATTATCAATAGGTATGTACTTATTGCCATTGCAGACTTTGGATTCATGGTTACCAAAGGTTCCAGGTTAACTTCCTTACTAAGAATCTAACTTAACTCACTTATTATGCTATTCCAAACACAACCTAAAGGTTCTTTTTTTCTCTCCTTTGTCTTCCTCCTCCATTCTTTATATTATTAGGTATCATATTCTGAACTCTTTGCCTATCCATTGATTAACTTTGCTGGTAGTTGATTTAATTTTGCATTTGCTTAGTAATTAACTGTTCTACTTTCTTTGCTGTGGTTTTATTATGTCTGGTGACAGCTGTTAAACCTTAGGAACACTTCCATCTATAGGAATCCTTCCAAAATATGCTGTAGAGACTGTTTGTGGGAGGCAAATTCTCTCAGCTTTTACTTATCTGGAAATTGTTTAATCCCTCCTTCAAATTTCAATGATAATCTTGCCGGATAAAGTATTCGTGGTTCCAGGCCCCTCTGCTTCATTGCATTAAATACATCATGCCACTCCCTTCTAGCCTGTAAGGTTTCTGCTGAGGAGTCTTCTTCCTGAGCAATAAGCCTTCATGGGCTTTCCTTTGTATGTGATCTTATTTCTCCATCTAGCTGCTTTTAATAGTCTTTCCTTATCCCTGACCTTTGCCATTTTAATTACGATATATCTTGGCGTTGTCCTCCTTGGATCCCTTGTGTTGGGAGATCTGTGCACCTCCATCACCTGAGAGACTATCTCCTTCCCCAGATTGGGGAAGTTTTCAGCAATTACCTTCTCAAAGACACTTTCTATCCATTTTTCTCTCTTCTTCTTCTTCTGGTACCCCCTATAATGCAAATATTGTTCCTTTGGATTTGTCACACACTTCTCTCAATATTATTTCACTCTTAGAAATCCTTTTTTCTCTCTGTGCCTCAGCTTCTTTGTATTCCTCTTCTCTAATTTCTATTTCATTTATTGTCTCCTCCACTCTTTCTAATCTGCTTTTAAAACCTTCCATTGTATATTTCATTTCTGATACTGTGTTCCATAATGATTGGATCTCTGACTGGAATTCATTCCTGAGTTCTTGAATATTTTTCTATTCCTCCATGAACATGTTAATAATTTTTATTTTGAAATATCTTTCAGGAATATTCATGAGTTCAATTTCACTTTAATCTTTGTCTGGTGTATTCATAATTTTGCTTTGAACCAAGTTCCTTTGACCTTTCATATTTGTATATGGCGCCCTTTAGGGCCCAGAAGCTCTAGTGCCTGGAGCTGCTCAGCCCCTGAAGCAATGTCGGGGGCCACAGAGGAGCGATGCTGGTGCCTGGGGAGAGAAAAGTGCTGTTACCTGCTTCCTGGCTCCACTGCATGAACCAGTGGACCAAGCACACAAGTGTAAGCCTCTATGCTTTGCATTTGTAGCTGGTGTAGGCAGGGCTTCTCTCTGGCTGGCCTGATGCCAGGGCAGGGTTTGCTGGTTTGCGAACCAGGTGAGGGCTGGCTGGGAGGAAGGCACAGCAGGCTGTGTATCACAGAGAGGGGGATCCTTGGAGCCATGTAGCCAGCCAGGGAACAGGAGTGCTTGAAAATCAAGAAAGTTCCCAACCTGCTGGGCAGAGTGCACCTGGACAATTTTGTCTACCTGTCCTTTCTCCTGAGCAGTAAGCTCTGTGCAATCCTTGCCCCTTTAGCAGCCCTCTCACTGTTAGGAAGTCTCTCATACTGCCTGCCTTTCTTTTGTCCCAGAACAGCTGGATATGGATCCCTGCTTTCCACCAGCGGCTGGAATCTCAGTCTCTCCAGGTATTCTGCCTGTCTTAGCTTTCCTACCCCCCTGATCACGAAAGCACCATGAAATGTAGGTTTGTGCTCCCAGAGCAGATCTCCAGAGCTAGATGTTCAGCAGTCCCAGGCCTCCACTCCCTCCCTGCTCCATTTCTATTCCTCCCACTGGTGAGCTGGGGTCAGGGAGGGGCTTGGGTCCCGCCGGGTCATGGCTTTGGTATTAGCCTCATGTTATCCTGTTCCATGAGGGCTGCTCTTTCCTCCAGGTGTATGCAGTCTGGTGCAGCCCTCTTTACTGTTGCTCTTTCAGGATTAGTTGTATTAATTATATTTTAGTATTATATGCGGTTTTAGGAGGAAGCCTCTGTCTCACCTCTCACGCCACCATCTTTAATCCCTGTCACCACTTCCAAGCCTTTTAAATTGGGAAATGGTTTACCAAACCTTTTCTGATCGTGATATAGCACAAGCTCAGTCCCTTCATCTGATTACTTCCATGATAATTAAAGTTACTTACTATTCTTTGAGTTTAATATAAAAGGTACTGTTTAGGTGCTTTATATGAATTCTCTCATTTAATCCTCACAGCAACCCAGTAAGGCCAATACTGTTATACCTATTTTACATCTGAGAAAACTGAGGCTTAGAATGTTTAAATATCTTGCCTGAGATCACAGAGCTTTGTCACCCTGCCTTTAACTAGTCTGTTTTTAACCCAAGCAACCCATTGGGCTTTAGAGCCCATTATTGCCTCAGTCCAAAAGAAGGTTTACCCTTAGAATTCCTATAGTCTAGAGGTCAAGAGTTTAGATACTTGTAGTAGCCTATTTTAAAATCTAACCTGGGTCCCTCTTATTTCACAAAACGGCTCTTACAAAATGCAGTCAAATCAAAGTTGACGGGAAAGGAAGGGAGAGAGAGGATCTGTGAAGCTGTCTAACTAAATACTTACAGAGTAGTGTTGTGCAGACATAGAGGGCTCCCCACTGCCTTCCTCCTTCCTCCTGTCCCCTGTCCTGATAGCTGTGTTTCCCTCCCCTCCCCTAATAAAGTCCCCCTTTCTCCTCCCCACTCTGTGCTCAGGCCATGATCTCTAACTTGCCCACTTTCTTGTCACTGTTTCTTCAGCTGCATGTTCATATTTCCTAAATGTCCTCCCCTCAAAATAATAGAGAATTTTGCTCTTTCTAAAGGACATATAATAGGTCCTAATGTACCACCAGTCTTAAGTGTGATAACCCTGAAATAAGACTGTTTGTGTTCAAATCTTAGATCTCTTATTACTGATGTTGTAACTTTTAGCAAGTGACTTAATTTTTCAGAACCTCAACTTGCTCATCTATGAAATGAGAGTTAATCAGAGCAAAGGATTGTGGTGAGGAACAGATGCAGTATCCATGGAGAATCCTTATAACTGTGCCTCAAATGTGTATACAGGCCCACTAAGTATAGACAAATGGTATTCACTGCTAATTCAACAGATACTTGTTGAGTCCCAAACATGCTCCTTGCCTTCACGGAGACCACATCTGAAAAGGTAGATCCATCTTAAATACCTATAGAAATAATATACATAATTATAAGTGAAAATATGGGCAGTGAGGAATGGTCTACATTGCTATGAGAGCATTTATCAGGGAACCTGACTTTCTCAAGGAAGATGCTAGAAAGACTGATTAACAAAGACTCTGTGATAGAAGCAACATTTGAACTGAGGTCTGAAAGTTGTGCAGTGCATAAGAGTAAGGGAGGAAGAATACGGATCCTCCTACTCCCGTATCTGTTGAAGCAGATGTCAGAAATTCCTTAGTGCTATTCAAACAGCCACATATTATTCAGTAGCAGCAACGTTCTATTAAAAATTTTTCTAGAGCTTGCAAATACTTTGTGGTAATTAAATATTTACCATTTGCATTTGTTATAAAGCATCTGTTCTGTAATGACACTGACCTTAGAATCAGTTGTTTTGCCATTATTGTGTACAGTGGGAAAATGCTTACAAGTATACACTTCAAGTTGTCTTGACTATATCACTTTTTAATTATTGATGAGTCCTTTTTCACCGGTGTATTTTAAAGCCCAGCTACTAGGTCCAGTGCTAGGTAAGACTAAACATGTGTCTAAACTACTCATAGGATTCAATAATCAGTGTGAATCCTGGTACCCACCCCACCTGGCCCACTTCTGTTTAAGAGATCCATGTCAGCACCACCAGGAGGCCTCCTGCCATTCAATAACCAAAATGAACTCTAAATGCACGGAAGCAAAGGTCACTGGCAGGGTTCCGTGCATCTCCGTGGACTTGAGTGTGCTCTTGCTTCTTTCTGAGACCTTGCTGTTACATGTTCATGGGAATCCTGCCCATATGGCCTCCATTAGGTCAGCTTTCTGACCTAATTAAATGAAAAAAAAATAGGAGGCAGTGGTAAGGTTCTGTGGAGGGAGTGTCTCTGATACATGTGAGTGGGGCTGATTATAGTCTAGTGGGGTTTTTTGAAGTCTTGGGCTAATTCTCTTTTTGAGTCATTATCTTCCAGGGGAAAGGAACTGTCAGATTTTTAGATGCATTGAAACATCAGTGCCTTATCTAAAGAGGACAGAATCTAAACCTTGACTTCTTTCCTTCTAGATGAAAGCTAGACACAGATAATAATTTTCCTCTGACCCAGAACTGAGGCAATGTCAGTTGGTGGTTCTGTGTTCCCAAACGCATCCTCACTGGCTCATGGGACAAGGCTGGGGTCAGTTTCAACACCCAAGAATAAGAAGAAACCATGAGTCTCCCAATGGCCTGGGATAATTTGAATCACAACTTTTAAGTCAATCATGACCCACCAGGAAGTCTTGAAATATTGACCTGATCAAGCACCGCATTTATTACTCACTGACATGGACTTTGGAAAATCAGGAAGAGTAGTGGTGCCTGTTGAGAAAAGCCACCCCCTTTCGCTCACACCAGTGTGCACTGTATTCACCGGTGATAGTAATTGTAAGCCCCAGGGAGCAAAGATAACTTCTCTTCTGCTAAGGGTTCCCCATTCTTCCCCCTACCCCTGCACTTTCAAAACACTTAACTGAAATTTTTTCCAGCCTTGGGGGTAAAGAGACTAAAACAAATGTCTTCTATGATATTATTTAAAAATGGATTGGGAAATTATGAATTACTAATCACATGGTCTGTATAAAAATCTTTAGTAAGTCATCACCCATAATGCTTTGAGTTGTATGAACCAGCTAATGAAAAGATGAGATCAATCATCTCCCTCTAGCTTAGGACTTGAGTCAATAATTCAAATGGAAATTGAACAAAACAAACTTTACCTCTCAGGATATAAGCTCCCAGGTGTTAAAGCTTCTTTCAGTTATCAGGATTTGATAGAAAGAGTCTCCCATCTGAAATTTGTCAAAATAGGACTTTGAGCTTAAGTAAGTTCCTTGTACAACTTTACTTCATTCCACACATCCTGAGGATCTGTAATAATTTAAAGCAAATCACTCCTTTGGATGAAAGAAATGTCCATTAAAATGATATATTTTAAATATAGTTTCCTTTACTTTTTCCTTCTTTGGGAGTTTTTCAATATGATCCCAATCTTATGTTTTTTTTCCTTACAATTAAAATGACTCCTGACTTTCAACTTTAATTGAAACTAATAGCTCATACTTTATTAAATTAAGAAGGAAAATGCAGAAAGAATTCTACCAACATTCTAAAAGAAATTAGTCAATTTATCATGATTTTTTATGGCTGAAAAATATTCCATTGTGTATATGTACTACATCTTTTTCCATTCATCTATTAATGGATAGTTAGGTTGTTTTCATATCTTGGCTATTGCAAACAGTGCAGTGATAAACATAGGGGTGCATATATCTTTTTGAATCAGGGATTTTGTTTTATTTGGGTAAATTCATAGGAGTGAAATTACTAGATCAAATGGTATTCCTATTTTTAGTTTTTTGAGGAACTTCCATATTGCCTTCCACAACAGTTGCACCAATTTGCATTCCTACCAACAGTGTAGCAGGGTTCCTATTTCTCCATATCTTAGCCAGAATTTGTTGTTTCTTGTCTTTTGAATAATAGCCATCCTAACTGGTGTGAAGTGATATCTATCTCTTTGTGGTATTAATTTGCATTTCCCTGGTAATTAGTAATGTGGAGCATCTTTTCATGTGCCTGTTGCCCATCTGAATTTCTTCTTTGTAGAAGTGTCCAGATCCTCTGCTTATTTTTTAATTGGGTTATTTGATTTTTGGGTGTTGAGAAGTGTTCTTTATATATTTTGGATGTTAACCCCTTATCAGATAAATTGTTTACAAATATATTCTCCCATAGTGTAGGATATCTTTTTGTTCTGCTGATGGTGTCCTTTGCTATACAGAAGCTTTTTAGTTTGATGTAGTCCCACTTGTTCATTTTTTATTTTGTTTCCCTTGCCTGAAGAGATGTGTCCAGGAAAAAATTGCTCACGCTTATTTATATCTAAGAGATTTTTGGCTATGGTTTCATGGCTTACATTCATGTCTTTCATCTATTTCGAGTTTACTTTTATGTATAGAGTTAGACAATAATCCAGTTTCATTCTGTTACATGTAGCTGTCCAGTTTTGCCAACAACAATTGTTAAAGAGGCTGTCATTTTCCCATTGTATCTTCATGGTTCCTTTATCATGTATTATTAGTGAATTCCACATAAATTAACACATGTAGAACAGAATCATTTTCCAAGAGAAATAAGTTTGATTCTGTGAGAGTAAAAGGAATAGAAGAAGCTAAGCCACAAAACATCAGGAAGACTATATATGAAATTTGAGCACAGAGAGATGCTGCAGAATTTGCCACAGCAAGGCCCATATGGTCAGGAAAACAAATACTAGTGCTGCATTGAGATCACAGCTTCCATAAGAGCTGCAAGTATGCAAAAGTTTTGGCAAGTTTTCTTTATCGATTATTCTTATGTTACACCATTCATTAAAAAATAAAAGCTGGTAAAGCAATCAGTAATTACAGATTAA